TAATGCCATTCCCATGTGCTGCTACTGTGCGAGTGACATTAACTCTGGTAAAAGAAACTTGTTGCCGTATAATTGTTTATATATAACGCACATGGGCGTTATTTGGAAAATCAGGTTTATCAAAAAATCGAAACTTCAAAATAACGCCCATGCGCGTACTCTAATTAACGCGCATATACTCAAAATAACGCGCAGGTGGGCGTTATTTCGCGAAAATGCGGTATTTGAACTGTAAAAGGGGATCTCTATAAAGAACTCTAATGTTCGTGTCTTTATAAGACGTACATAATATATTTGAAATTCTCTTTTTTTAGTATCGATTATGAACAATTATTAGCATATTAATGTAATATTTATATTTTTATTTTATGTTCTTTTGTACTCACGAATCTCTTTTCTTTTACTTTAAAGCACTTAGGTTCCTCGTGAATTATAATTTAGAGAGGATTGGATAGTTTATTGTGGTTTACTAGTTATAGGGTTTATAGACGCATATATGCGATAAACATATAATTACGGTATAATATAGAACATGTGCAATACATAGTGTATTAATAATAATACTTGTAACGATAGAGTGTAAAGAAAGAGTGCTTTAATATTTGTCGTGTCTGAAGCTTGAAATTTTAAATACTTTAAGAAATTTTCAAAAATTTTTGGGGTGCATTTTTAGCTATTTTTTATAGTTACTTAGGATTTAGGGTTAGTTTTGATAATAAAAATGTATAAGTGAATTTTGGTATGGTTTATATTTTTAAATCGAGTCCCTAATTTCAAGCTTCAGCCGCGACAATATAAACCCCGTTAATATAAATCCCGTTAATATAATATCAACCTAAGCTACGTATAAAATGAATTCTGTATATTAAAATTATATTAAAAAAAATCCCTCATACATATCAACTTTTAATATGATCCCTCGCTAATATCACTATAACATGAATATAAAAGCAATCCAAATAGGTTGATAGGGTCCTCTAATTAAATTTGCGATAAAACAAAAAAAATTTACTTCTGGTATTCAAAGTTAAATACATATTAGCAAAACCAAGTTAATTCTTTAATCTAATTTGGATATATATTGCCATATCATTATCGTTAAAAAATCAACCAATCATATTTGATTATGATCATCTGACAGAATAGTCATGCTTCTGATTAGTCAATCTATATAAGAAGGTCTGAACTGTGCATATTATAAATAAAATTCTTCATATAAAAAAACATTTATCGTTATTATACTGAATTAAACTGAAACTATGCCTGACATAGAAGAAGGAATCGACGAAGGAGTTGAAGAAGGAGTTGAAGAAGGACATGGAGAAGGAGCTGATGAGGGAGAGGGAGTCGACGTTACGGCTCCGATTGATTCCTCGGAAGAAGAGGAGGAAACTGACGAAGAAGCAGCCAAAGAGGTACTCTTCAACAGATTACGAAATATCAACCAAAGTTTTACCGAAATAAATTCTTACCGATTCGATTGACAGGTTGCAAAAGATTTCATTGTCGACGACGAAGAAGAAGACGAAGACGAAGAAATATATCGCTCTTCACGAAAGAAAAAAAAACAAAAAAAGAGAAAAAGGGAAAGGAGTATTGATTGTAAGATTAAGACATTATTACGATTCTTCTTTGCTTTTCTTTTCATTCGTAAAAATTTCTTACAATTGTAATATATTTTAGTTGATGACATATCTGATGATGAATTGGAATTGATAGGAGAAAGCAGGTCTAGAAGTGAGGTAATTTCTTAAAAAGTTTGTAATTCTAAATTTTTTTATTTATCTATACAACTAATTCGATATTTTTCGCATTTTAACAGCAAAACTTCAAACGTCTTAAGCGAGGTCGTCATGAAAGTCGAGATGATGTTAGGAAGATTTTTGACGACGAAGATGCTATGGAAGATCAATTTGGGAACGATTCTGATTTTGTTGTTGATGATGACGATGATGATAATATTCCATTTGATGAAGGTGATACTGGCCAAAGAGGTCGAAGTTCCTATTCTAAGCAATATTATGATGATATGAGCGAGTATGTTTAAATATAATTTTTATTATGTAAATTCATTTATTTTTATCATCTTTTCTAACTTTTTGATTCATAGACCGGAAAAACTTTGGCAGGAGGTCTTTCAAGACCTTGATGAAAAATATTCATATGCTTTCGACAATCCGGTATTATTCTTTCTGATAATTATTTCATTTCAAGCTTATTATAATAAGCGAATTCAACATATCAAATTCAACATATTATAGGAAGATATGGATGTTGAACCTGCCGAAGGTTTGGAGGCAATTTTAGACGATGGTGCTCTTAAACGATTAAAGATGACCAGTGATGATATACGTATTAAGAATACAGATCTTCCGGAAAGAATGCTAGTACGTTTTGTTTTGTCTTTTAATTATTTAATATGACCTTTTCCTACAATTGTCTTTCCAAAACATTTCAAAGGGGAGAACTAGGAATGTTTGATAGTTACTTGACCGGAGACTTGAATTTTTTAATCATATTTTGTCTTACTATATATTCATAGCTTCGACCAGATATTGATCAAGGTCGAAAGTTAACTGATTTTGAAATAGAAGAGGCTACTAAAATGATCTCTGAAGATTTGGCATATTTTAATGAACAACGACCTACTAATCAATTTATGGTGGCCATTAAACGTGTATTGAAATGTTTGGGGCAAGAATTCTTTGAGGTAATAATTAAACCAATATTATTCTCCAGATAATTACTTGATACATTAAATTAGCAGTTTCTTATAATTTCACAATTGTTATTATAGGTCCCCTATATATATACGTATCGCCGGGATTACATCGCAGAATTTGATGATGATTTTTCAAGACCACCTCAAGAAATTCTTACACGAGCAGATTTATGGCATATTTATGATCTTGAATATAAATACAGATTGTTTATTAAAAAACGTGAAGAAATTCGAGACACTATTAAAAAATATCGTATCGAAGATGAATACGTTAAAACTTTTCTATCTGAGGCATCTTCTATTGAGGCGCTCTCGGATTTACATGGATATATCCACCATCAATATTCTCAACAAATTGTTGCCGCTTTAACTTCTCGCCGACATGTGAAAAAAGTGTCATTTTATGAGGAATGCATGAGTCGAAATCTTGACAAATTAGTTTTCGTAAGGATATTTTCTTCACTTTATCTATTATTGGTCTGAATTATTCATAACATACGAATGCTTATTTAATAGAAAATCGGTGTTCGAGTACAAGAATTTGGAAAAAGTTTAAATCTTGGAAAAAAGATTCACTATCCTCGTGAAATTGAAGATGGGCCGCAGGATGCGGCAAAAGAATTTGCTTCAGCTTATACTAGAAAAGCGGAATTCACTAACTTAGACCCTGTCGAGCTTGCTCTTGCAGGTAAATCTGAAACTTAGCCGCCCCGTTGCAATTGAATATCTTTGGATGATAATTCAATTTTTTGTATCGAAATTAGATGCCGTGAAAATGCTTTCTCAGGATATTGGATTCGATCCTTCTTTCCGAAAGTTTGTTCGTAGACGCGTTCTTGAGCAGGGTATTATAGTTGTAACTCCAGCACCACATAAAGATATTGACATTAATCATGAATGTTGGGTGAGTTTTTAAATTTTCAATTACATTAAGGTTACTGGATTTGGTAATCTATATTTACATACTTTTGATTCACTTTATTTAGCCTTATAGATACTTGAGGAAGCCGATTAGTAAATTTAGACATTCAGGATTGTTTGCTAAAATCATGAGAGGCGAGGATCGCGGCATACTCAAGGTTAAAATTGAGCTGGAGCGTGAATATGATTTCCTTGATGTTCTTGAAAAGCATATAGTTGGTGATAATCGGGGAAATCAAACTGGTCAAAGGTGGGATAGATACCGCATTGATGCGGTTCATGCAGCTTATAATAAAGTATTATGCCCTATAATTGACATATGGATTAAAGCACGACTTAAAGATGATGCCGAACAATGGATAATGAAACAATGCATGCTTGGCCTCGAATCTGTTTGTATTTTTTCATGAAATTTGTTTTATTTGTAACGCCATAAAGATTCCATAATTTACATTGCTTTGAAATAACCCGTAATTATTCAAAAGAAATTAAACGTGGCCCCAATTAAATTTACAACAAGTTGGGATGACGAAGAAGATGATGATGACTGCGAAGATGATGACAAAAAACGAGTAATGGCTGTTTCATGGGGTCCAGGAGGCCGGCACCCTATCGAATGTGTTTGCCTTGACAGGACTGGACGGCTTTTAGATAATGTACGATTCAATGATCTTCGAGACAAAGAGTCAAAAGATTTTTACGATTTTTACGTGTTTATGCGTGACCATAAGCCAATTGCTATTGTATTACGCTCTTATGATAATCGAACGGAATATTTGTTAGAAAATGTTCAAGACGTGGTTGGATATTACAAAAATCATGGTGGTGAAGAAACTCCAGTAATTGTTATTGATGATGAGGTTGCCAAAATATATAGACTTTCATCTCGTGGGAGACATGATTATCCAGACTCTGAATATAACGAAGTTGTCAGGTACTGCATATCTTTGGCGAGAACGATACAGAATCCCATTCAAGAATATGCTGCGCTTGAAGAATCAATCACTTCTATAAAATGTCATTCACTACAAAGCCTGGTATGGAAATAACAAAAAAAATCCATTTGTTGTTATATATTAGTCACATTTTTTTTTTTTAAATACTTTGTTTTTCCTTTAGTTGCCAAAAGAAAAAGAGCTCGAATGTTTACAAAGGGCTTTCATAAATATTGTGAATGAAATTGGTGTTGATATAAATGACGTGATAAATTCTCCTTACAAAAGTGACCTACTACAATACGTTAGTGGATTAGGACCACGAAAAGTCGATGCATTGTATAAAAGGATTTTAATTGAGGTAAGACATACTAAAATTCGCGCTATTGATTTTACTCAATCGTAGATGAATTCAATGTTGTTTAATGTCTTGCTACGTTAGGGCCAGACTGTTGATATGGACAGAAGATATGGCGTTGATCTAATAGATGTGGCAAGAAGGGAGGATTTGAATAAATTGTATCAATTAGGTCCAAAAGTGTACGCTAATTGTGCCGGTTTTATTCGAATTCGACCAAAGCCGGCAGATCCATTTGATGACACTCGTATTCACCCTACGTATTACATTTTAGCACGTAAAATGGCTGCAGATGCTTTTGATATGGACGATGATGAAGCAGAGGAGGAATTGCAACAACCTAATCGTCGCGATTTTCTTAAAAAATTATCAGCGGAACCAGAAAGGCTTAACGATCTTATCTTGGAGGATTATGCTAAAAGTCTTTCGAAATATTATGAGTCTCCAACAAAATTGATTTTGCATAATATCAAAAATGAAATGATGAAACCTTATGCAGATCCTCGAGCGCCTTTTGAAATACCTACGCCTGACAAAATATTTGAAATGATAACAGGAGAAACTGATGAAACCTTATACGAGGGTTTAATCGTTTGTGTGAAGATTTATAAGATTGATGACAAAGCACTCAAATGTCAGCTTGATTCAGGGTTAGATGGCACAATTACTATTGGTTATGTCGCAGATCACAGAATAGAGTCGCAGGAATTGCGATCAAGATTTCATGTGGATCAACAAATTCTTGCAAAAGTTTTGTCCATTGACAAAATAAAATTCTCTGTCACTTTAAGTTGCCGTCCGCGGGATGTGAATGGGAAGCAAACTTTTCAATCCCAACGTTCAGTAGATTCCGATTACGATTATGATGCAGAGGCAAGGGAACAAACTTCGAAACAAAGTAATGTTTATTTACGTATTGTATGGTTAATTACATAAAAAATATAGTAATGTTTATTTGAATTGTACTTTTAGCAAAACCAAGGAATGTAATTACTCCTAAACTTCATACACGTATGATACCACATCCAATGTTCAAGCCGTTTACTTATGCAGAAGCACAAGATTATCTTAGTGATAAGCAACCTGGTTCGTTGGTAATTCGGCCGTCATCCAAAGGTTATGATTATATAAGTATTACTTGGAAACTATACGACAATATTTATCAGCATATTGGTAGGTAAAATTGATTATGATTATTATTTAGTAATTATTTCTAATTTACAAATGATTTGGAATATATAATTTTTAGATGTTGTTGAAAAAGATAAAAGTGGGGTCGTAATTGGACGTAGACTTGAAGTTGAAAATGGAAAATATGTCTATTCTGATTTAGATGAACTAATCGTAGACTATGTAGAAGCCAAAGCTCAGAAAGTTGAAGCTTTAGTAAATCACCCGAAATTCAAGGATTCGGAGAAATCACTAAGTAAGTCTTTTATCAGTAATTATATATTATTATATAATTTTCTCCATTATAATTCATTTATTAACCCTTGGAATCTGAACTTTAGATGAATTTCTTGACATATCTTTAACCTTTAATCCAAAACAATCTGAATATGGATTCTGTCTTGATACTAAGACTCCTGGCTGGTTCTTATTTATGTTCAAATTCAAGCCAGGAACTCAAATTGATAACTGGGTATGTTTCGGTCGAATTAGCTATTAACTTTCGATTAATTTATTTAAGACTAATTTATAATTAATTTTAATTATATAGACTGGATCTATTAGGCCAGATGGATACAAATTAAAAGACCAGATTTATCCTACTGTCATAGATTTGATCAATGGGTTTAAACGAAATGTATCAAAGAATTCTAGTTCTCAAGCTTATATGAGGAGATGAATTGAATTACAAGGACTATGGTCCACTATCACAATCATTAAATATCAGTCCTTAAAAGCAAGCTATACATGCATAAATATTTTAATTAATCATTTATAAATAATTTTGTACAATGCGTTAATTCGTACACGTGTTCTTATGTTTGATATTCAATGTATTTTTGTTGCCGCAATTGTATGAAATTGTCGATCATTAGTTTGTGTACCGAGATTTCGGTCTTATCCGCATGTATTGTATATCTTGATACGTACGTACGCACGTATGTACGTACATATTAGTCATCCATCTGTGGCTGTACTGACTACCGATTTTGACATTCACAGACTCTGACTGTGAGACTGTCTTGGCTCCTGGGCGAAGAGAGTCAAGTTGATAAATTTATCAAACTCAATCATTTTATAAGCGCGTTCTATATAACCTTTGAAGTGAAATTTATTATTGTCTTTACGAACGCGTTTAAACATTTATTTTGGTTGACCATTAAATGTGTATTTTATTGGTTAGCATATCACGTGTTTTTATTGGTTAACATAAATATTCCAGTAATCTTTGAAACGATTGAATGAAAAAAACATGGGTTTAACCTCACAGTCAGCAACATCGTCTAATGGACTCAATAATCATGCACGAAGTTCTGAGCCAAGACTGCTATTCATTAATAATGAAACACCAATTACGTTCGGCGTCAAACGTGATGTGCCCCAAAGACATTCTCTGATGGAAAAAATAAAAGTAAGTTATTGGTATATGTTATTCATAAGATTACTGGCTTTGAAGAGGTTGCAAATTTTTTTTTTTTAACAAAAAAAAAAATTTAATCCGCAGGAGCATGGTGGCGAAGTCACTGAAAATTATTGTGATGCTGATTTTGTTCTTGGCGACCCTACAAAAACACAAATACCGATGCAAGGAATTGATAAAGTAACTAATTATAAATTTGTATTGGATTCGATTAACGCAGGAAGATTAAGACCTCCAAGTAGTTATGAATTGGTCATTTCTGGCTCAAGATCCGGGTAAGCATTCTATTAATTCTTTACGATTATATCATTTTTAATCTATCGTTTTTTATACGTTTTAACTAACGGGGAATATATAGTCGACGTAATTTTACAGTACAAGATGATAGAGACTTGGAAAATTATCTGAAATCAATATCTGAAGGACTTAGAGGAAATGAAATATATAAGAAATTTGAAAAAATTGTATGTATTTTAAGGTGAATATTCTATATTTTAATTACCTGGTCGTTACTTAATATTCCTAAATTTCAAGAATCCGCGACATACGTGGCAGGCATGGCGTTCTCGAGCGGTCAGAAAATTTGTGGGCAATATTAATGTTACTCCCAATGCACAAACAATAAGTAAAGTCCGGTCAGCCAATAATTCACCTGCGTTGCATGATGCAGACTCAGATGATTTAGCAACGGAAAAAATACTAGAATCTGCTATAAGAAAAAATCAAGAAAATGAAATAACAGATGCAAATGACGATGAGTTAGCAGAGCTGACTAGTCCTTTATCACAAAATTCCAGAATAAATAAATATACTTCGTTAGATGAAGAATATGACGTTTCTGAGTCTTTTGAAACAATTTCTGGAGATTCCTTTACTGAACCTCGCCCAACTCATCGAAACTTAGAACTAGGCAAAAGGCGTCGCACTGATGAGGATGTACGGGAACAACCGACATCCAAACGTTCGAGATATTCAGCTGTTGATGAAGAATTTTTGCTTAAAGTTAAAGAATTGTCTGAAGAATTCCATGTTCCTAAGACTGAGGTGATTCGAATACTAGGCGATGCTACATGTGATTTCGCAATTGCAAGAGAATACCTAAGTAATAACGGTAAGTATTCATTGTTAATACGGTGTTGGTAGCATTCGGAAATCAAGCAAATCCTTTTTTTGTTTATGAGTTTTAAACAGATAACTAAATAAAACCAGCTAATTTTGATGATTTAAGATTTTGAAATCAAAGTCTTAAATCAAAAATGAACAAAAATCGGTTTGCTTTTTTTAATATAGATATACTCGGCGATCGTGTGGCTGGTAAATTTATGAGGTTTCAATCTTTTTTAAAAAATTTGCATAGAGATTGAGAAAATAAATTCACATGATTTCCGAGTATAGACATTCAATACCATGTCTTTATTTTTAATATATCCAAAATAATAAATTGGTTAGCAATCGGCGAAAAATATCTTTGGGAAAATGAAGAAGATGCTATCCTGTCTTTGACAAAAGATGACTCACAATTTGGAGACATTTTACGAAAACACGGCATTGAACTAACGAGGGAAAGGATGAGATTTCTTGATTCTTTGACTTTATATAATCTGATAAATAAATAAAAATATACAGTCTACTCTTGATATAGTCACAATCTTGTTATAATCACACTATTTCTTTATCCTAGACATTATAAAACAAAAAATTTGACCTTTATATAGTCACACTTTTTTATAATCACCAAATGTTTGTTTTCCAACCTGGTGATTATATCAAGGTCTGACTATACATTTTACATTAAATTGTCTCTTAATTGTTAGCATATTATATCATTAAATTAGACACATCAGTTTTATTAAAATTATTCAACAATTCTTGGCAATTGTATATAGTATTAACAACTATTTCTTAGCTATTATTTTTTTGCTGCATCCTTTTAGTAATTTGGTATCATTAGCATAGTAGTAATATTAATAAAATATCTATTTTTTTTTTTTTGCTACAATTGATTACAGATTATATAATCAGAACTGAAAATTTTGTGATCTCTAAAGCTGAAAGCCACTAATGCAGAGTGTGTTGTTTAACGTTATAAACGTAATTTATTTACCATTTGCACTTTCAGACTTTCTAACACTCTTCTGGATGAGAAATCTGGCACATATGAAGTTTAGTTGCAACATGAAGCGGAGTCGTCTTAAGCAGATAGAGTCATGGCCTAAGCTGAAGTTTAAAGCTGCAGCTTTAATTATGGCTTGAGCCACAGCTTAAATTCAGAATTTTCACATCGTTATTATAATACCGATACGTAATGTTATATAGAAAATGACTGTGCCTTCTCCAGGAGTCTAGACACTTATACCGTTACATGCTGTAGCTTATTCAGGATTCAGGCAAGTTTTATATTAAGCGTTCTTGTTAGGGTTTGTGGTCATAGATATAAACATATGTATGTATAATAACGTTCCGTCACTTTTAATTAGTGCCCCGAGGTCGATTTAAACATTAGTTATCGCGTATTCTTGTTTTACTTTTTTTGCTTTTTTTCTTCGTGAGCACATGTCGGGCTGATCGAAATGATCAAGATTTTGATTAATTCTTATCCACCACATCAAGTTACTGCAAAAGAGTCTAAAGTCTTGATTTTGTAATTGAATCAATAATAGCTCTAGTTAACAACTATTTTAATTTTATTAATAAATTTGGTATTATATACTGTATATATTTTTTTTAATTTTGGCAGTTTTGCTAGTAACTTTATTATTATATAGCTAATTATATAAATGCTTAATTTCAAAGCCCGATA